AGTTCCGGTGAGGTCAAGGGCCAACGCCGAACTGCCGAACTCACGAGCGTCTCGAGACACCTCAGAGCGCGGAATTCACTGCTCAATCACCCGAATTTAGATTGGTGCGGACACGCCCCTCGAAGGTGCGAATCTAACGACAATTAATCGCGACTCTCACGACCTGGCGCGAGTATTCAAATCTCACTTAACTCTTCTCTAATCACCTAACACAAAACTAATTCCTTTTTATTAATTATTACGCGAGACTAGGCCGAACTGATTGTCGTTCGGATAATTACTAAGGGTCTTTGGCGCTTCCCACGGATCGGATCTCCGGGATTTTCGGGGTTAAAAGACAAGTTACCGGCACTTGTTATTACTCCACTACTAATTCCTTCTCAACTCGTTTCTCTCATCGAAAACCCCAAGGCAACCTGGCAATTCGTTGGAGATGATGGTTGCACTCGCTCCGAACGACCTTCCACCCAAAACAAAAACGTAACCAATTAACCCCTGAAAATCCAACGAAATTGGAACGCCGGCATTTCAGCCGCACCTATTCGATTACCCGCAAGATTAACAATAGGGTGAACCCCATAAAAAGAACCTGATGACTCTATAATTTTGGCCCTTCTTCACGATAATTTTTCTGGGCCCTCAAAGACGCGTAATTACTAATCTTTACTAATAAACGGAACCGATAACTCTAACCAGAAATAAGCCACTCGGAAGTGGATAAGGGACTCTCACTCTCTCGCTCTAGGATTCTTACTCACGGATTTTAATTTAACGCTATAGGAGTCTCGCTGTTTCCAGATCGTTTTTAGTGTTCCTAACAAACATCCCCACATGTTCGTTACAGACCATAGAGCAGATCTCGTCCAGGATACCCCATTCTTCCAAGCTATGGAATATAGCCTGGGCCTGCCCTTCCCCAGTTCCACTTTTGATCATCGGCACACCGAGTAGCTGCTGAAAATCATGTCCAGACACCAGAATTGGAAGTCGATCAATTGTCCCGAATTTGTTGTCAGGTGCTGACATACTTTTGCCGTCCCAATGAACCGTCAGAATGTGACAAGATCTGTTCTTCATATTTTCTTTGATTTTGTCACTGAGCGACTTTCGATGCATTAGGCGGCTTCGACGTACCGCTTCACGGCTCAAATGAACTTCGTCCAAAGTTATGCCAAACTTCATAAGAGCAANAATAGGGAGCATAGAATAATTACGTAGAGAGAGCGAGAAAAGGTAGCAAGTAAAAAGGTAGCAATGAAGTAGGTAGCGAATGGCATCAACCGTCGTAGCGAGACGCATAAAGCCTGAATTTTTGCACAAACGTTATGGTAGGTAGCATTATTAATATTTTGATTTATTCAGGTAGCCTAATTATTAACTAGATAATTTCAGGTAGCTTCCAGGGAGCATTTGGGTTTGTTTGAAGGATTTCCTACGCCATTCCGCGTGGTCCAACTGCTTTACCGAAAAACCGCACANTTTTGGCTCGATCCAAAATCGCGGTGATGTCCGGAGTCATGATTTTCAACGTTTTGGCCTTGATGTTGATGCTACCTCAAAGTTACTATCAACCTCCTCATTATCGTCAATTTGTTTCAGAACTTCTTTGATGTCATCTTCTTCATCAAGAAGATAGTTCCCAAAATTTGCCGCAATCCTACTTGGTTGTACTAAAAATTGATATAAAACGACAAATAATGAGAGCAGAAGACAGAATCAGGTGTTATAATAATATAACATGAAATTTTACGAAAGGCAACTCCCTGTCCACTGATGGTCTAATGGAGGCAACTGTAAATATCTTCATAGATAATTGAAATACGAAAAAAAAACAAAAGACAAAATTTCACTGATACGCAAAATACGAAACACCAGATTTGTGTAATTTGACCAGAGGAACGATTTGTGAGTTAATCTCCCCAATTTGTCATCTACAGCTCCTGGGAAAATTGAAGTTTAATTTGACAGTCTCGATAATCTGTGTAAGCATAATGTTCGNCATTATTAATATTTTGATTTATTCAGGTAGCCTAATTATTAACTAGATAATTTCAGGTAGCTTCCAGGGAGCATTTGGGTTTGTTTGAAGGATTTCCTACGCCATTCCGCGTGGTCCAACTGCTTTACCGAAAAACCGCACAAATTCACTGTTAATCACCTCTAAATAAGTACACGAGTACTTACCATCGTCTGGAGCGTTGATTTCGACTGGATTTGGATCACGGGGCCTCGAAAATTACCTCGAAAGAGAACTTGCTCAGGGAGCTAAATCGACTCGTACCTCACTCTCAGTCGTCCGANATCTTGACTAATTTTTGGAAGCGCAGGGTGGATCAGCGGGATTTTTATTGGCATTTTTATGTGTTCAAAGATGAAAAAAANTCGATTCCCGGGGTAATTGTGCGCGAAATATTTAAAAATTTAAATTGAAATTTTCCTAGAATTGATTCTGATTATTTTAACTGAACAAAACTGAAATTACTTGAACTCAACGTGAAACTGAGATGGCTGAGCGGATCTTCCCTCCATCTACGATCGGGATAAGGTAGCTTATCTACAGAGGGCACTCTTCGGAGAGGAATTAGGACTTTACCAACGAAAATTCAAACGCAAACTTAACTAAACTAAAAGCCCAATGGCGATCCGTTTCGACGACAGGGCAATCGTCTCCACAGCCTTCCAACAGAAAGCCCTAACACTCTCGCTCAGGGGAGCGCAAGCATTTCAACTCGACCTAGGTACTCACTCTATCGACAAACCAAAAGAATTACAGANAAAAATTGAAAAAAAAAGTTGGGTAACCTGGTCAAATCGGAATTTATAACGTTTTTTTTTTTGATAAATCGCGTTAAAATCACGTTTTTTCACGNCTCGCTCAGGGGAGCGCAAGCATTTCAACTCGACCTAGGTACTCACTCTATCGACAAACCAAAAGAATTACAGAAAACACTAGGTAGCACATTATCTTGGCCAAATATTCCACGGTGATATCCTGATCCTTAACCGAATTTACGTAGGGAAATCTCAAAATTACTAACGTTTAACTCAACAAAAATGACTCGGAAAAAAGAAATATCTGCAAAATATCTGGTTTATTTAATGAAGTTATTTAATGAATATTGTTCTAAAATTTTAGGGAATCGATTCACGCGATAGGTAACCAATTTAAGTAGTTTTCCGAACTTGAGGTAGCTCTGAAGTAGAGTTAAGGTAGCAGGGAGCTGTAATTGTCTGTATAGATGTTTATTGCGACAAAAATGTAACGGTTTATAAATTTTTACTCTCTCTCTCTCTCTCTCTCTCTCTATCTCTATCTCTATCTCTCTCTCTCTCTCTCTCTC